TTAAACAGTGTGCTCGTTAAGCGAGGCACCGCTGTATTATAAGCATTTGTAGATCTCAGAAATAATACCATCAGAGCTACAAAAACCCCCCAGCAATATTAGCAACAGCATACACACTGCACTATTTAACAGATACTTCATTTTTTGGTTATATCTGTCATATAATATCTGTCAATATTTTTGTAATTTTTATTGACTGTGCCTGGTGTTTTTGAATGACAATAACATGCCATCAATTTAATTCTGAGTTATGGGGGCCCTTTTCAGAGTTTTCTAGATAGACAGTATTCAGAAACGGTTCACTATTCTTCTCTTCTGGTGGTGCTCTGGAGTTGTGTGTAGCTTGCCCAAGGCCCTATAGGCTGACTCCACTCCTCGGAGGCACAAGAAGGTAACTGAACTGCCAACCTCTGGCTTCACAGCCCAGTACTTAAACCACTGAGCTATCTAGCCAGCTAATAAGAATACAACATTTTATTTAATTTCTTTCTTATCTGTTACAAGCTGGTAACACCTGATTCCCAGTTATCATGTGCATCAACCCAATTTCTTTTTCATACAAATCTGTGATAAATCAACTGCCGTACTGGAAGAATCCAACTTGGAATCTTACTATAGTTGTATTGGAAACACTTTGCTTAAATATGAAGCATTTTTTTCTGCTGAAATCCTAACATTAACTAGGATGGTCTTTGAGTTTCTTTCATTCCTAGTCTATTTTTCATCAAAAGTAGAAAAAAAATAATTTTAGAAAGAGTTACTGGGAGCAAAACCCTTTTTGTCTCTCTTCTCTACATTTGCATAGTTAGGTTGAATTCTTGATCACATGCCAGCCATCTAATTGGTGCAGAAGAAAGAAACCTTTTAAGGATGTCTCGATGTGTGGCAATTAAGCCCTTGTGAATTATGCCATTTCCATTCTGCCGGCTTAATTACAGGAAAGCATTTTCATCAATAATTTTGATGTGTCAAAGTACTGGAAAGCATAATTAGCATATTCATCTGTATTAAAGAGTACTTTTAATTTAGTCTGAGGAATAAAAACACACCCAGATGTTGTAGGAGTGTTCGGTGTACAGCCCTTAGCACATGAGTAAGTGCATTTAAAATGGGTGCTTTATGTGGAGTTGTCTAAGTTGGTAAGTAATACCACCCAGGGGTGTGCTTGCACAGAGAAATAGATCATATTTTGGACTTCTTTTGAAGTGGTTCAAAACAATCTATTTCCTGGCAATCACACGACTCATGGGGAAATATGCACCAGCCCGACCCCAGTCCATGTCCAAGCTAGTCCAGCTGAAGTCTTCCATTTTTCTGGCCCGAGATGGAGTGATTCTCCAGCAGACAGAAAGATAGTTTCAGAAGAGATCACTCCTGTTAAAGTGACTCTTTTTGGTTTGATCATGTATAAGCCCCCAGTTTCTGATCATAACAGTTTCTGACCCTCGTCTTCAATGACCTTTCCTGTAGGAATATTGATCCAATTTCTACAGAATGAAGGAAATGGGAGGCTGGATTTTGTCACCGTGTTTTGCTCTTCTTTTTAACCAGACAGGCACTTTCCCAAAGCCCTGACGAACAGTGCAACACAAGCAGCAGGTGACCAATAGGCTAAAAGTGTATGACATTGCTCTGCTCTGTACGTGAGTGCATGGGTGTCCACAGTGTGTGGGAGCGGCTGCATCAAATGGTTCTACTGATTACAGCAAAAGGTACAGTGGCTCAGAACGGGATAGCTGTTGAAAAAAATGCTCGGAATCCATTTTCAAAACTTTAGTGTTGAATGAACAAACGTGACCCATTTATCTGAAAGGACACTGATTGTCGGACAGCGGAAAAGGAGAGAGTGCAGATTATTTGGTTAGTCTCCTGGAATACTGGAAAGAGAAAAGTAGTACTTGTGGGGGAACGATATTGATTATATCCAGTTAACTCGAGCCCCAACTTCTAAGAAACGACTGGTGGAAGAAAAGTCTTAAGGTATTTTTATTTTCTGTTCCCCCCTGTACAGCAAGGGTGGTTTTATTCTTGCTTTTTGAAAACAAATTTATGGATCCTGCTGTCTTGCTCTCTCATTTCTTTCTTTCTGTGTTTATTTGTATTGCTAGATTTCCGGACGGTTCCTTTCTGTTGAAAATGAAAGGTTTTGATACCTGTTTTTTTAAACTCCAGTAGTCTCTCACTGTGAATTTAGCATTTCCCAGAGTTATACCAAGCTACTTTGCAGCCTGAGGTTGAGGGCAAGACAGTCTTCCCTCATCCTCTCGTGTACAAAAGCTGGCCAGACTGGATTCTTCTCTAAAAACAAAATAATCATCCTGAAAATTAAGGGGGAGGAGGAGGAGGAGGAAGGGCCCCTCCAACTCCACTCACTTACCACAGAGTAGTATTAAACAAGAAAACAGGTGTAGGATCATCATTGCTGTCATGGCTGTAAAAAAGAGAGGGGGGGGAAAGGAAGAAACATTTTAAAGCTGTTCCTGTCTTTTTGTCTGTTGTTGTTACATTCTCCAAAGCAAAGATTGAAAAGTTAATGCTGTTCGTTCTGTAACTCACTGCAAAGCTCCCCATAATAACTCACTAAAGTTTTATAAAGTACCTAATTTATCCATTGTACTTTTTCTTGGAAAAAAAGAACAATCCACCAGTCAATGAGTAGATTTTAAAAAAGGAGGAAATTGCTGGACTGTAACTCCCATCATCCGTAGCCAGCATCGCCAAAGTGAGGTATGCTGGGCTTTGCGGTTCAGCCACTTAACAGCTAAAGGGATCCCTGCTGGTCCCACATTTGCATCTTTGTTGACTCAGCTCAGTAGGAGCAGCTGAATAAGATAAGCAGACAAGGACACTAAGAAAAGTTGTGAGCTGTCATGACTCACAACTAGAATTAGGGAAGCCTCCATTCAAATATCCTTACTGAAGCTCAAGATGAAAATGGCTTCATCACCATTCCTTGGCAGGTTGGTTGTGTGGATGGGACGCACGGGTGGAAAGTCGTTTACACCACCCCGAGCAGCTTAGAAGGAGGATGACATGCAAGGGCAAGCAAGAGACAGAATGGTTTTTAACCACAGCTCAGACCAGTCCTTACCTTCAGCAATCTTGGCTTGACAAAAGGAGAGGGAAAAACTTGCTGGTTGGTCCCCCCTCTCACTAAGTCTGCTCCTTAGTCTCCTTTTATAGGGGTGTCCATCAAAGCCTAGTTCTCCTGAACTGGCCAGGAAGCTCTGTGGTTATGGCTGGACAAATAAAAGGTTTTGCCCAATATGGATGAAGTTCCAGGAAGAAGGGAAAAAAAAAACAGAACTCAGCAAAATTTGTACTTCCTCCTTCCCTAATCATGCTGTCCATCTGTCCTGGCTATATGCTGGCCAGCACTTTTTCTCCCAATACAGTACGTTTTTTTTTGTACAGAGTAATTCCAAAGAACTGAAATGGGGTTCAGAAGTTCAAACACAGGCTTGGCTGTAAAAGTGAGCTCTGAAAATAGTCCCAACCACAGAGAGGAGAAAGTTGTCCAGCAAACAGCTACTGTGTAATCAGGGGATACGCAAGATTATCATCTGGGAGATGATGTAAATAAAGGGCTGTGTTGCAACCTAGGTAGCCGATGACCAGAGGAAGCTGTTCTTTTCCCAACATCTGGAGGTGAGATGAGAAGCCTCCTTTGCTTGGAAAATGGTTCAGAGCTATTTTGATAGCTGAGACTTTGCTGAACTTGAATTTCAGTCACACAGGGAGAGAAAAAGAGGGATACCTGGATCTGAGTGCATGGTGGCCAATGGGGTTTTGTACTCAACTTGCCCATTTTGTGTTTCCTTCTATCCTCTAATTTTGAGTACCCTGGCTCAATGTCCCAGGCACCTCACCCTGTGCATGGCTCTCCTATAGTTTGTGCCTTCACCCAAAAGCACAGTTCTCTGGATCCCAATTGTTCACAGCTGCAGGCCATCAGCATTAACTGGGTGACACTGGACAACTCAGGAGGAAGGTCCTTCTCAAAAGGAATTTCTGCTCAAAGAAGACTTTTCTTAGGTGTTAGACTTCCAGGGTTTACGTGGCTGCTCAACTTCCCACATCAATTCAGAGGAGAAGGTTATTCATATCACGAGGGAAATGTGCACCCTCCACTTCCCCTGAGGACCCCAGATGCTCTAGAACAGTGGATTCCAACGTTGGGATGTCTACATGTTCTTAGGCTAAAACTCCCAGAAGCCTTCACCACTAGCTGTGCTGGCCAGGATTTCTGGGAGCTGCAGTCCAAGAACATCTGGGGATCCAAGGATGGGAATCACTGCTCTAGAGTTTTTCTGGAAATGTAATAACTTCTATGTCTCCCCACATATGACTCTGTGCAACAGCAAATGCCTACACACATTTCCTAATGTGAGGCTCCAAGAACATCTGGGGACCCAAGGCTGCTCTAGAGTTTTTCTGGAAGCCATGTATCACATAATGTAGTAACTTCTATGTCTCCCCACATATGACTCCGTGCAACAGCAAATGCCTACACAGATTTCCAAATGTGAGGTCATTTGCTGCTGGGATTTACACCAATGGAGTTATGTTGGCTTAAATATGTAACAGAATTCCAGCCATTTACTCTTAATTACACTGGATTCCTTAAACTGTTTCAGAATAATGTCTTTAAAGTTCTTTTTTATTGTACAATGTGTGTATGTAGGAACAGATTGTCTGTTTATTTACTTCTATCTCTACACCTCTTAATCTTCCCCTTTCCCTTACAATTTCCATGCAATCCTCAGCATATTTGGGAAAGAAATAGGATTTTCTCTGTGATAATACATTATTGTGAACTATTTGAGTTTTAATGCAAAGTAGTTGCATTGGTCTGTCCTAGTGTCAACCAAGATAATCAGTTATACAAGGATCCTAGTCCTCCGAAAGATGAACTTTGCTGGACCTTGTTTGTTAATCTTAGTACAGGTTCCTCTATTTTTTAGTTTCATTTCCCTAAATCTGATCAACCTGACTTAAAGTTATTTAAAGCCAAATCATCTCCAAAACAAGCAATTTGATAAAGCTGATGCAACTGTATGGAGGGGGGGGGGGTTGTGCAATTGTGTTACTGCAATCCTTTGGAATGTGAAACATATTGCAACTGACAATATGTTCCCGGTTGACAAATCTGGGCAGTAAAATAATCTTTTTTTTTTTTTTTTTGCAATCTGTACAAATCAAAGGGGAAAATCTGTGTAATTTGAAATGTGCTTCAGCATGAATTCTATTGTTTTTAGGTCAATTGCAAAGTTTGTTCCCACAAGAGAGTTACTTGATCCCACTCATGATAAGAGGTTTTGGCTTTGAACGTAAACTTATGCTTCCTAAGGCAGCGTAGTTCTATGCCATGATTTTTTTTAAAAAGGATTGCTGTTAGATGTGCGAAAGTATCTCAGCCATAATTTAATTCTTCTCCTCAGTCTGTGAAGCAGTGCTATATAGCAGCTGACTAGTACACTGGACTAGGAGTTGTTAGACCTGAGTTCAAATCCCCACTAGGCCATGAAACTCTGTGGGCAATCTTGTTCAAGTCAAATTTTCTGTCTAACATAGTCATGAAGTTTTTGAGAAGGTAAAACGGAGAAGAGGAGAACCATGCACACTGTCCCATTTGGGGGGGAAATGGGATAGAAAAGTAAGAAACACACACATAAATCTATTTCTTTCACTCCCAGCTGATATCATGCCTTGCATGGTTGAATCTCCTTCAGTGAATGAAGACTTGATGACCTCCCTCAGCAAGAGGAATCCAGAACGGAGGAAGGACTTGAGGACCCACCTATCAGGCCCTCTCTGGAGACACAGAAAACAGAGGCAGAGTCTCGCCTGGCAAAGGATGACCCACACCCTCCAGGAGATAGCAATGGCTTGGGGCGCTGTGGGGTAAACCACAGAAACCTGTGCGGCAGGGTCAGAAGACCAAGCAGTCGTATGATTGAATCCACGCGATGGAGTGAGCGTCCATCGCTTGTCCCAGCTCCCGCCAACCTAGTGGTTCGAAAGCATGCAAATGCGAGTAGATAAATAGGGACCACCTCGATGGGAAGGTAACAGCATTCTGTGTCTAAGTCGCACTGGCCATGTGACCACGGAAGATTGTCTTCGGACAAAACGCTGGCTCTATGGCTTGGAAACGGGGATGAGCACCACCCCCTAGAGTCGAACATGACTGGACAAAAATTGTCAAGGGGAACCTTTACCTTTACCTTTACCTGACAGACTTGACTCAGAGAACTCCTAGGATTCACGATGTTGGAAAAGAGAATAAAACAGAGGTGGTCTGCACAGTCAACCACTTGCAGTAGATAATTTAGTACAGCCCTCCAGTGAAGAGAGGACTACCACACCAAACATAATAAATATTGCTATCTCAGATGGTCCAAAACTGCTGACTACAACATTCCTCCTAGGGTCCCAATTAATTTGGAACTCTTTATCCGAATATCCCCGTCCCCACCTCCTTAGTGAGTGGATGGCTGCCTGTGGAAGGGGGGACTAGATGGCCAAATGTCTGCCCAGATCAACACACTGTCAGCGATAAAGAACCCCAAGAGAGACGCCATACAGCACCACAGCTGTTGAGTGATGATATGCAGATAGAGGGCTCCAAATTAATTCAGGCCCATCTCTATTCCTCACCACACACTTGCTGGACCTCCTCTGAAACAATCTGCAACAACTTGAGTGGGTCATGCTTCGGTCTACTCTCTGTTTGATCTGTCTCCTAGGAAACTAAGTACTTATGAACTGAGTACGTGGCTCTAATCCTTGACTACTGCTTACAAGTCCTGTGAAAACCTGTTCTGTATCTTGGCATGTCTAGCTCTGGACTCTCCCAAATTCCTGCCTCCTAATACTTCCCTCCTTCAAACTCAACACCCAGGACGTTGCAATTAAAGAATCCAACTTTTTCCACTTATACGAATCCAGCTTTTTCCACTTATATGACAATAGAAAGATGAATGAAGTAACAATGTAAAGCAGGGAACCAAGCAACCAGTTTCCAAGTTTTAGGTCAATGTAAAGCGAATTGCGAAGGTTTCGTGGTTCTTGATTTATTAGTCTGTCTTAGCAGAACAACAGAAATTGATGCCACCCAATGAAGACTAACAGACTTATTAGAGTATGAGCTTTCATCAGCTATAGCCAATTTTTTCAGACACAATGGATTTCCAGTTCCATATTTTATGCCCAACTGTACAATCGAGCGCACAACCAGGAAAAGTCCAGGTGCACAGCAGCAAGCTAGAGAGGTAGCTGGCACAGTTTGTGCAACGATCCCTCCACAGTAGTGTCATACAACAGGAATCTGGCTGAGAAATCTTAACTTCAATACATTTACCTTCCACCTTTCTTCTAATGTGCAGTAACTGAGACCAGAATGTCTAAGGTAGGGTGGGAAAAAACCATGGGTTTAATAGCCCTTAGTGTGCCACCTGCTTCCTGCTTTCACCTTGATTTTTAATCTTTGTTTACCAGCACATGACCTTCATAACCTCTGGGGGTGATGAAGGCAAATTTGCTAAGTTTGTTGACCATCCTGGCCTTTTCAAAGTTTTTTTTTGAGTCTTTTCTCAAAACAGAAAGTGATTGATCTGGGCTTGCAATTCATGCATTAACAAGGAGTGGGCCAAGATGATCCTCGAGGCACTTTCGAACTTGACGATTCTATGATTCTGGTCACTTTCCTTTTTGGGGAAAAAAACCCTGCCCTACACGGTGATGGGTAAAAAGCAGTAAAAGGACAACCCCTCCCCCCTCCCAATAAAGAATCAAAAAGCCTTTTATGCTCTTCAGAAAAGTTAAGGTTTGTGGGGGAGACGTAGCCCACCAAGGCTTTGGGAGCATTAAAACTCCTGGAGTTTTAGAAGTTGCCTAACCCACTCCAGTGGGATGTGGTGGCGCTGCGGGCTAAACCACAGAAGCCTCTGCTGCAGGGTCAGAAGACCAGCAGTCGTAAGATCGAATCCACGCGATGGAGTGAGCTCCCGTCGCTTTGCCCCAGCTCCTTGCCAACCTAGCAGTTGGAAAGCATGCAAATGCGAATAGATAAATAGGTACCACCTCGGTGGGAAGGTAAAACGGCGTTCCCTAGTCACGCTGGCCACGTGACAACGGAAACTGTCTTTGGAGAAGCGCTGGCTCTATGGCTTGAAAAATGGGATGAGCCCCGCCCCCTAGAGTCGGACACGACTGGACTAAAAATGTCAAGGGGAACCTTTACCTTTACCTTTGACCCACTCCAAGAATTTAGAAGAGGCATGCAGACAGGAAACATAAATATAACTGATCGAGGATGTGCTCACATGGGGAAATAGATCAAAATCTGAACCATTGGTGGAAAGGTCTGGTGCAGTCTGTTTCCCAGCGATCACATGACAGATAGGGAAATGGGCTCCAGCCCAACCCCAATACATGTCCAAGGTGGACCTTTCTTCCTCCAG